GCTAATTTTACCAATGTATGCCAACCAAAATTTTGTCGATCACGGTTGTTGGCCAATCAAAAGCGAGAATCTTTCATGAAAAAATTTAAAAAATTTCATCGGATGGTTGTTGAGATGTCTTTAGTTGATAATCAATTAACTTGCACTCTCTCTTTACGTGCACGGTTTGGTTTTTTTTTATGATTGTCCTAAGATGGTGCACTTAGAGAGGTCTTATAGTACATAAGTTTGACAATGATCAAACAATATATTCAGTCAATTCATACATATCACACAACATGACGAGTTAACATTAATAAGTAACTAAAATTCTTTATTTTTCACATTCATGAATTACATCAGATTATATTTTCAAGTATTAATTATTTATATTTTTCAGTTCAATTTGAAGCTGAGTTTTCTATTTTTAACTCTGCTCAATCGGGATCTCGTGATATTGTTAAACATGTACTTTATTTGTTCATTAATTTCATTTGTTGTAGTCTATTATTAGTGTTAGTAACGATTTTTAACATTGTAAAATTTGGTACCTTTGTAAACGATGATCACATTGTCTTCGTTTATTCTGTCAAAATCTCTTAATAAAACCATTTGTTTGTTCAACATTATACTGTCAATTTTGGTTAGATTTCTGGTTCGAATTATATTAGATGGTTTGTTTATTAAAATATTTAAAAGTTTGATTAAAGTACAGTATTCAGTAGAAGGACTTAAGATACGTATGTAGACTTTATTCTTTTGTCAAAGAATTAAGTTTACGAATAATGTAATTTGATTGGTTGATTGTCACATGTTGTGAGAAAGTCATCGTGCACTACGCTATTCCCAAAATTTTCTAATTTTGAAATAAAAAAATTAAAAAGTTTCTGGCCGGAAATAATATAATGTGAGCCAAATTGTTATCTATCAGGGCTGTCAATAACTGGAATACATATTTATCAGCCCATGGACTTCACTATATCGAGTTTTAATTGTAAATCAGCTAATACTGGTTTGGTCTAAAATATCAATTTATTTATTTGATCTTGGTTAATTTATTAACACTACATTTTAAGAGTTACGAATTTAAACGGTAGGCTTAATTTATCGATTTTTTTGTCAGATCCAAATCGAATTGGAAGATAATACAAAAGTTAAAAACATACTAATGCTTTTCCTGCATCATTTATAAGGATAAGCAAACTATGTATGACAAAATTGTGTGGATTTACTTTTTGCGTAGCAAGCAGGATTTAGAATAAACTCAGTTGTTTCTAGAGTGTCTCGAAATTGAAACGAGAAATAATTGGGAGTGTCTCGAAATCGAAATGAAAAATAATTGGAAACAATATTGAAATATCTTAAATATGGTTTTACTTTACATAAACCTCTCAGATTTAAATAATTTAATCAGTGTAATTCATATATCATCATAGAGGTTTAAAATATTTTAAGTAAAATAATTATACGTTTAAATCCTGACCAATATATAGAAGTAATGGTAATAAACCTTCTTTGTGTACAAATTGGGTTTCCTTCATTGTTAACTAGAAGTGTAATTACACTTATAGTCATACCTACTTAACTCTGGAGAACCCATATAAACTTCTATTTCACGTAAAATCTCAGCAAAGCCTTTCTTCACTACAATAACTCTGAAAAGATAAAATGTGTTTTCTTCACCGTAATCACTCTGAAAAGCTCGCCTTGATTCTTCTAACATTAATGAAATACAAAAAGTGAATATCTGAATAAATTAAATAAGCAAAATAAACAAAATTTACTTTCCTCAAAGTTCCAATGTTCAATTCTAATTAGGGATGTAAACTATATATTTTAGAATCGTATCCGATAATCATTCAATATTGGTGCAAGCAACTGATAATATTTTATTTGAAAAAAATCCCAAATACTATCAATCATCTATAACAATTACACAAGAAAGTGATTCATTTCTTTTCTTTAATTGGTTGATTTCTTCATATAATATTCTGATTTCTTTGTGTAATTCTCCAATTTCTTCAAATAATTCTAAATTCTACATATTTAATAACAAAAAAATATAGCATATATTTAATATAGGTCAGTGTATTAATATAAAAAAACATACCTGTTTAACCAATATACTATTTTTTTGCTCTAATAAACGACAACATTCTACATAATAATTACTATTATTTTCTAACAATGCTACGTAATCTTCATTAAGTATAGCATGATTCATCAGTAGACTTTCATATGTATCAAGTAATTTTTTATGCCTTTCATTTAATAACACGATTTGTTCATTATTTTTAATAAGCTCGTATTTAAGATTTGCAACCTCTATGCGTAAACTAAAAAAAATTATCAACAAATAAACTCTTAATTTCAAGCAAAAATCATTTCAATAAAAAATATTACTTCTCAATTGTAGCTTTTACTTTTTCTTTTTCTTCTAAGACTTTTTCATTCAGAATAGTTTGGGTTAAACTAAGTTGACGTTGGGTAAACTTCATAAAATTTTTTCACAACTGTAAAATACTCTGACGACTTCGATCAAATACTTTTTTAACAGGATATCCATATTCAGTTAAGGGCAGATACTTTTTTTCGGCACGCGATAACTCGTCAATAAGTTTATCAAGTTCTGAGCACAAAACTTCTTTATGCGAATCTACTTTAAACAATAAATTTTCGGCTCATTTGGAATCTTGTCGATATGTTAAGCCCAATAACGTTGTTTTGTGTATTTCTTTTACATGATTAACAACTTCTGTATGATTATTAAAAGTATGTGGGCAACCGGAACACTTGAATTTATTGTCTGCGGTTTTACTAAGTCTACCACCACCGAGATGTTGTCTTCAGGGTGGTATCTCGGTGATGAGATTAAAATTCCAGACAAAATGAATTAGTATTTATATAACACATAAACTTATAATTCTTTTTTATACCTTTATTTTAAAATATTGTATTGCTCACTTAATTTAACAGTTTTCTCGATTCATTTAAAAAACCAGTTTATATATTTTAATATTTATAATATATATTAAGTCACAGTAGAGTACAGTTAGTTTTTGATACTATAGCTTATATTATGGAATTAACAGGTTTTGCAGAAAGTTATTTTAACTACTATATAATTTATTTAATATATTACATAAATTTTAATACGTACAGTATCAATACGGAATGCGTGCATTTGATAACCAGTTATTATAAATTAATGTTTTAGAACTAGGTATTTTTTATAATATAATGTTGATACCACATATTGTATCAAAATAAATTATGTAATAATATATAAAAAGGTAAGTCTGACAAGTTAGCTAAGATCTGCAATATACAAAATTTTTTTATGATACTAATATAAAGTATATAAATCGCGAAATAACTCCCTGGGCGATAATACAGTTTAATATTTTCAAGTACAAACTAATATAAATTCAAAAACAGATAATAGCGCAATAACTGCCAGGATCAGGTAAACCTTGATTATGTGGAATCGTACATCCTTTCCTAGAAATCTGTTCTGTCTCATATTTTTGCAAAGTAATTAGTATTTTATAAACAAGTTTAACTATAGATCTTCAATTTTAAAATATTTTAATTTATACAACAGTAATAGTATATTAACATTTATAAAACAAAATTCAAGTTTTGTAGAGTAACGTGTTCATAATATATTTTTTTATCGACATATATTTAATTTCCACGCGGGTCAAAGATCTGCAATATGTATAAAGCTAAAAGAAAGAATATATTTTTCAATAGTAATAAACTTGTTTTATTATGTATCTAATTATAACTTAATAAACTAATATATAAGCTAGAATGTCCTTTTTGCTTTACTTTGTCTTTTTTCTTTCTTTGCAGTGAATCAATCAATAATAAAGTGGCAAACTTTATTTTTTAGACCAAGTAAAAAAAGAAAAACGCACTTAGTATTTATACTCATTTTCTAGAAAATTAAAATTTTTCATTTAATGATAATTAACTAAAACTTAATTAATGATAAATTTTATCACAGAGACAAGTAATAGTTGGTCTTTAAATATTTTTAAAAAGCTGCAAACATGAAGAACAACAAGAGTAAAGTGTGTTTGTTATTGAAAGGTAAAATTCTGTATATATTTTTTGTTTTTAATTACATTCCGATTATATACTAATAATAGCTCTCTCTTTACAAGTTTATCATTTGAAAAGTGAATTGAGACAAATGAAAAAAATTCTGAGTATATATATTTAGTTGCAATAGAATTTTGACTATGTATATACTAATAGTCATCTCCTTATAAGATCGTGTATTTGAGGAAAATGCTAATTTGAAAAGTGAATTGAACGAAATGAAAAAATATATTCAGAGTATATATATTTAGTTGTAGTAGAATTTTGTCTATACTTTCACTTACTGTACGCATACTAATAGCATCTCCTTATAAGATCATAAATCTGATTTAGTCGCGAAAAATACTCTTTTAAAAAAATTAAAACAAGAAGGTACTATTTTTATTATACTGTATATTTAGTTGCTTGAAGAAATGTATTGGAATTATACATTAATTGTTCACTCTATCTAAAGCTGAATTAAGGTTGATGCCGAAATTTGCCGAAAATCAAAGATTGGTTGCATTTTATAAATATTTGTTTAATGGCCAAAAACCATCAAATGAAGATTTTGAAAAATTGAAATTAATATTTGATAATTTAGAAAAAGAAACACATCAAAAAGTTTATCAAATAGGATTATAAATATAGTTAATGAAACCAATTTGCACATTTCATAATTTAGCTTAATAAAAAAGAATTACAAAAACTCAATAATTGGATTCATTTATTGAGAATTTCTACTTAAAAGTCAATATATTCACGCGAATAAAATGAAATAATTTATTATGTATTGTTTAAAGAAAATTTAATATATAAAGGCTTAAAAATGAATTAGTTCTCAAAGAATTAGATGAAATTATAAACGAATGTTAGAAACTAAAGAAACATAGAAATAAATTAGCACGTGTAGTAGTTTATGACTAATAATTTAGTGTAATAAATCTTTTATTGAATTGATTCGTAACGATTATCTAAATTAAAAAATTTTGCTAATACGTTATAATAACTATTATAGGTTTTGCATACCAAGTTCTCAATATCTCGTGACCTAGTAATTTAATTACGTAAATTTGGTTATGTATGAATTTGGCTATCAGTTTATACGAAAGGCAGTAAAGCACAATACGATTATAAATATGGAATCATGTGTAAAAATAATAGAATGTTAGTAACCTCTAGTAACATGCTTCTGCAGTACCTCTAGTGACACGCTTCTGGGGTTATATTTTTTCACGAGGAAATTATAGAAACACCCAAAGAAAAATAGAATTACATGTAACAGTTCATACACGTGATTTGTTAACATATCAATATATTTAAGTCTGAGTGATAGAGATAAAATGGAAATATCTCAATTATTAATTTCAAAATCTGTTTTAAGCCAACATGGCACTAATCTCTTCTGCATTTAATATTAGAAGTAATGTCTTAATAGGTCTTATGTCTTTAAACTGGTGTCTTGATTTACTCAAAATATCAGTACAATTTACTAGGCATGAAAATAAAGGTTTATAATCTTTGTACTCATTCTAAGGCATTCAAATATTTTTATGATGACTTCGTTCGATAAATGTATGAAAAGTTGATGCATCATTTTACTAATATAATTTTTTTTGATGGAAAATCCAAGAATTTTTTTAGCAAATTTAGTGAAAAAATAGATATATAATCTCTATTCAAAAAATTATCATGTGACAACACATTGGGGACGTGAACTACAAACTTATTCATTATCAATTTTCTCAGCAATAATTAACACTTATAGCAATAATATTTATTCATACAAAAGTTGAAATTATTGAATATCCAAGAAGTGACAATAAACAATTTCAACTCAATAAGTAATCGAAGCTGCTAAGATCAGAGATTTTTGTGTGTATTAATTTATTACACATCATTACTTCGCAATCAAAATAAAATTTTTAGTAATATGTTGTGGTGAAAAAGAATCTTTATTTTAAACAAAAGTATTTATTAAAAAAAATTAAAAAAATCGAAAAATTAATCTATCAAACGCCTACTTTAATGCGTCTAAATACTTTCGAAAAATAATTGATTGCACTATAAATTGAATTAATAAATGCAGCAAATTGATTCATTATTTGTACGTGAAAGAAAAAATTTCCGTTTGTATTAAAAATAGACTGTAAAATTTTAATTTGGTTATTTATATTGAATGCAATTGCTATGAATAAAAGTGTAAAGATAAGACACATAAAAGCGAATATAAAATTACGAAGTTTTGAACGCCCTTGACTAAGAATAATAGTGGCATTGGCATTAGCATTTGCTTGACTGAATAAAGGTGAAACCTGGCTATCCGTTGCATTAGCAGTTGCTTCTTCATTGAAAGGAAAATTTGGAAACTCATTTGGGTAGATACTAACATTATTTCGCAGAATAGCTCAGAATATCATTTCCACTATCTGTTCACTTGAAATATTATTAATTTGGTAACTTTCAGCACTTTCAGATCGAGGACGTTCATGATTATTCTGTTGAAGTGGTTGAGGACAAAAATTATTTTGAATATTGCGATGTCGAAGATATTGTTGAGACTGAAGATTTGAATCAAGTTGATTAGGTTGAGGTTGATTATTTTGAAGTTGAAGCTGGAAATTAGAATCATAAACAGGTTGATTGTGTTCAAACTGGAAACCATTATTCTGCTGAAATCGGTGACGTTAATGAACGAGTTGGTAAGGTTGAGGCTGGTAATTAGGATCGGGGGGAGGCTGAAAACTAGGATCATAAGCAAGATGATTAGGTTGATTTGATTGAATGTTTTGAGAAGCATGTTGGCGAGTAATATCATAATTCTGGTCGTTATTATTAGATCCTGAATACATTAATTGTTCTCGTTGATAAAGAAACTGTGGTGATTCCTCTCTTCTTTTGCATCTTTCTTGATATAATTGACAAAAACTACCGTTACATTCAACACAGTAATAAGGGTATACTCCTGGCATATTATTGTTTTTTCTTAGACAAAGAATAATCTGGCAACTGTAGAATTTTGAGCTTTTATATAATATTTTAACGGATAATTTCTTCTACGATTTTCTAAAAAGCTATTTTTTTATTTGATCTCAACCTACCATGGTCAGTCAATAAACTTACAGTTTTGGAAAAAACATGTTAAATTTTACTTGTTTGAGAAGAGCTGCATTAAGGGTCAGTCAATAGAATTGTATATCTGATGACTAGTCAATAAACTTCTTAATTCAACTTCCACGTATGAAATTTTTATGACATGTCACGAGAATGAACTGCTATAATTAGTCAGTCAATGGACTTCTAGTTTTGACAGAATTGAATGTATGTACAATCAGATCGTGGCTTATTAAATATTACAATTGAATAAGAGATTTTCTCTGTAAAATAGTTTTGACCGAATCTCATGTAAGATAAACTTTTCAGGCTTCAGAATTGTGTGCTTTAGTAAAAATAACAATCTCCTGAAAATCAAGAATTCACAAAATAACTGATATTGATTATTTTATAATGATTTAAAGATAAATAACTCACGCGCGTGCAGTTAATAGATTGCTAAGATAAACTTTTCTGATAGAAATCGTGTGAAATTATATTTGTTTACCTGATGCTCTAAAAAAAGTTCGAAAATTCGAACTGTCTAAAGGGGTCATAGCAATTGATTAAAAAATTATCTCTTTGAATTATACAATATCAATATCAAGCCAAATTTGGTATTAATATAAAATTACTCTAATTTTAAGTTCAATTCCGGTTTTATATATAGAAATTACATGATTTTCATAAATTTATTTCATCGATATATATTTATAAACCGGTTTTTAAAAGAATTCGATTTCAAGAATGAAAACCAGATTACATGCATTAGCGTATGAAAAAGTACTCCAATTAAAGTTCAGTTATTGCTTTTTACATTAGCCAATCAGAATGAACGGTGCTAATTTGACGCGTTAAGCACATAGTAAGAATTTTTATCTGTGATTGGCTAATTACATGGCAGGAAAGACTTGTATCTCGTGATTGTTCAGATCCAAATGCCTAGAAGCGCATGTTGCGGTCAATTCTGAAAAATGAGAATAATAGAAGTTTAAGTTGCAAAATGAACTTAGTAAATTGGTATTTATTAAAATTTATTTCAAGCATATATTACAGGTTTTGCATACCAACTTCATACAAACTGACAGTCAAATTCATACAAACTGACAGTCAAATTCGTACAAACTGATAGTCAAATTCATACAAACTGACAGTCAAATTCATATGAATTTGACTGTCAGTTTGTATAAAGTTGGTATGCAAAACCTATATTTTCAATCACGTTATAAAGATATGATAAAAATTTTTTCTTTCAAAATTAAAGATTTATTATAAGAAAATTCTAAATATTAATGCCACCAAATGCTATTGTAATAGTATATACGCTCTTGTCATTACTATTTTAATTATAAATTTTTACCTTGAGAAGAATATAATGCATCTTCTGATGACTGCAAAGAACTTAAATTGTCTAAATAATCAAAGTAATCTTCTTGATTTGATAGAAATAAGGATTGTCCTTGGTCAAGTGAGCCTATTAAACTAATTTTTATTAGTTTGTGTAATTAAAAAAGTAAAGAAGATAAAATATGCTCTTAATTGTTAATTGGAATACTTGCTAAAAATTTGAACTACCACAAGAGTCAGTCGATGAATTTATAGTTTTGACAATTTTTGTATCTATTTAAATCATGACTCAGTTGTTGAGTCAACTTATTATAAAATATATTTAATAGTAAATCCATTGGAATAGGTCTAATATGGATTTGTTTACATCATAAGGCTTTTCATAACAATTGACAAAGGGATTATTTCTTTTAATAATACAATATCAATATTAAAACTATTATTATTGTAATCTAGAAAATTTTCGAACTACTGCAAAAATCAGTCAATAAATTTCTAAATTCAATAGTGTCGTATGATATTTTTTTCTTTAAGTTATTGTATAACCTTCAACAAACGACTGAATAAGTGGTTAGTAGAGCTCCCTAAAAATCTAATTTTAAAGTAATCCAATATATCTTTTTTATAGTCATATTTTTGATACTGGTTATTTATTTCTAAAAAAAATCGAAAATTCGAACTGTCCTTAGGTGTCATGACAATTGAATGCCAGTTTTTAAACATTACTATCATAGGTAATTCTATTAAGATCATATTAATATAAAAAAAACTTTCAAGTTCAATTCTGATTGCAAGAATGAAAATTGGCATGCATTTACAGTATATTTTATTATATATATTTTTTTATTTAACAATATAAAAAATATCAATAATCTAATACAAGATAACTGAGCATTAAATAAATAATAAACAGGTTAGTGTTAAGCTATTTTATATCAGATATATATTTTAACATCCCCTTGAAACTAATAATTTCAAATAAAAAAAACCATGACTTGTAAACAGTGTAAACAGCATCTTCGTTCTAATAAGTAACTTTAAAGAAGTGAGGGAAGTACTTTTTTTAATATTATTTTTTAAAAAATAAATTCAGATACTCACTATGCCAAACAATAAAAAAAATAAAAAAAGATGGATCACACAATAAGAAACCTGTATTCACGACTGGCAGGCTGTTTACAGTTTAGTGAAATATACAATAAGAATCTATCTTTGACGATTGTATTACAACCGGTGGGCTAATATAATCGTTCTGCTATAAAAATTCTATATGATGAATATAATATCTGAGAGATTAACATAATATCAATTAACTTCAACATCATGACAAGAAAAAATCGTAGCCCAAAAGAATTTTTACTTACAATCCTAAACGAACATCTAAAATTTCTAGAAAGAACAAAAAGAAAGATACCAGGGAAATATCACAAATACATCGAAACAGAAGAAGCAGTTAAAGACTCCTTTACGTTCTGGAAACCTAAAGGTTCCTCTGTCACGAAAGAATTGAAAGCTTCTATCATATCATATCTCCTTTTACCCTTATGACTTTCATCTCTTTCTGAATCAGACGAAGGTGAAGAATATCTTTTTCTCTTATGCCTATATGACTTACTAGACTTATTTTGACTAAAATAGCGTGAGGCCGCATCTGATTGGCCAAATAATAGAATACGATCCTTGTATTTTTCCATCATTTTGTCATTACTCCCGATTATCTGTAATGCTGTACCTCAACCCTTGTTATCTGCTAACCTTAGTGTAGCTGTCCGGGCTTCGATTTCATCTCTAACACCATCAAAGTCTTTTTTATTAGCCGTTGGTACTACTTTTATTGCTTTGTCCAAATGTTTGCCAATTTTCGCCAAGAAATCATACTCGTGTTGATCATGTGGCTTTGACAAGCTAACCTTGGGCCATGCTTTATTCAATAAATCACACTCCTCTATTTCTCTATGTAGAGCAGAAAAATTTCTTTCCATCTTCATTTCAATTTTACTCATCGCCAACAGAAATATATCAACTGTTATTTGTTCTGCCTTCTCTCTTCCTCGGGAATGACCTACTAACTTATCTTTAATTCTATTATCTGCTTCCTGCGAATATGCATGCATGTCATCCACCTCAAGGTCAGCATCCCTTCCATTATCCCAATCCCTTTCATCCGCATCAATTCTGGGTACTTCGATAATGTCATCCAAATCTTCATCATCCCCTACTCTAC